TGGAAGAAAAAGAGTTAGAATTTCACTCATCCAAACACGTTCTCACACATACAATAAAGCACTCGACCCGTTTTTTTTAAAGCCTCCTTAAAGGTACAAGCGACCGTCGTAAAAATATACCTGTACATTAGAAGGTGGGATTATTTTTTTTGTTCACCTTGAAGCACAAGAACTTGCTTGGACCAGTGTTTTTTTTGTGAGTATTTTGCATCTTCAAACCACACTCAACATCACACGGTCCATAAAATATTATTTTTCTAACAAAATTGTTTCATACGTGTCTAACATTTTTTTACATCTAATTACTCCTGAATTTACTATAGGTACTTATTGTTACTAATCTTACTATACAATAATATTTACAGTTTATAACATTTTCTTACTGAAATATTTTTTTTTCGCTAAATTGAGTTTGTTTACATTTGTTTTGCTAAAATAATTTTTTTAGTAAATTAAGTTATTTTTACTCAAGTTCTGTAAATTAAATTTTTTTTACTAAATTAACTATTTACAAATAATTGTTGATAATTTCCACTTAGAAAAAAATTATTTTTAAATTTGTTGCTTTAACCAAAATTTGGTTCCTTCAATTTTGATTGTTTCAATAAAAATTCGTTTGTTTCAACCATAATTTAACTGCTTCAACTAAAATTTACTTGTTTCAAACAAATTTTTTTCTGAGTGCATATGAAATTTAATTTTCTTTACACATGATGAGGAAGTTCATTCTCGTTAAACTTCGGTTACAATCCTTCGGAAGTGTCACGATCACTTTGAGACAAGAAAAACTGAATAATAACCGTTCGTTTCCTCTGCGGGTTTTTCCTGTCTTGGATTGTCAGTCTGTTTTTTCTTTAACCGCGCGCACCTCAAGATATGTCACGCTGACGACGAATATAGGAGAGATGCGCAACTTATCTCGCAACTCCTCTCGAAACGGAATTGTCTTCGTTCACATTATGTGAATCCACTGTCACTCAAAAGTCTTCTATCTTCAGAAAAAATCTTTTTTTTTCTAAGAAAGGAAGAAAAAACAAGGAAAATTGAAGATAATTACGATCTTCAATAGTTTTCATTATTTTTTTTTCTATTTGTATATAATAAAATAGATTTTGTGCACAATTTTCGTTTCAATGTGAGTTTTGAGTAAAAAGTTAATAAAATTGTTTATGAATTTTGGTTTCAATTTTTTAATAGATTATTCAAGGGAAAATATTCAAGAAATATATTTAAATTTTTGTGAATATGTTAAAATTTTTTATGAATACTTGAAATGTTTTTAAATAAGTATATAAAGATTATATGAATTTAAACAAGTGTCGATAAATATATTCAAGTTTTTGTGAAAATCCTTAAGTTTTTATCAATATATTCAAAATTTTTAATTTTTTATAGAAATATTCAATTTTTATGAATTTATTCAAGTTTTTGTGAATATATTCAAGTGTGTTGGACTTAAGAAATTTCTTGAATATCTTTTCTTAAAATATGCTAAAAATTTAAAAATATTTTTAAGATGTTATTCGAATAAGTTTATTTAAAATTGTCAGCAAATTTGGCTTCAAATACTGTTAAAGTTTATAGAAGATATTACACTGAAATTCATTGTATAGATATTCAATAAAATAATAAATAAAAAAAAGGTTACTAATACTCAACAAAAATTTGTTTGGAGTTTTTCAATAAAAATTTGTTGCAGATATTCAACAAATATTTTTGATAGTATTTAAGAAAATGAATAAAATTGAAGATATTTAAGAAATATTAATTAAACATATTCTAAACAATTTTTGAAGATCTTCAAGGAAACATTTTGAATATATTTATAAACGTTTTCTGCATTAGAATCCAGAGAATTTATTCTGTATATTAAAAAAACTGCATTTTAGATATTTAAAAACGAATAAATTAAAAGAATGTTAAACAAATTTTGAATTTAATTTATCCAAGAAATAATGGTATTCAAAAAATTGTTCTAAAAATGTTATTCTGTTAAATACACTACAGTCGGGAATTATCAGTACGGCTGCACGCACACGGCCCAAAAACATACCAATCTTTAAATCACGATTTTTTTGTAAATACAAATGTCAGAAAATTAACAAATATACCATTCGAAAGATTATTAAATTCTACGATTAATGGTACATAACTGAAAATTTTAATAATTTATACAAAGATTACAACAATTGACAAATTTGACAAAAAAAATTTTAAAATAAAATTTTTGTAGAAATTTTTTCAACCCCTGCATATTTTTTAAAAATTGTAGAAAAGATTTAAAACTTACATAGGTGTGATCATTCAAGTGTCATCTTTAATTTAAGACCAAAAGAGTTCAAAAATCTTAATCGGTTAGCGAGATATCATTATAAACGGCAGAGCATTTTCAGCCAAAAACCGTTCAAAATCGACTAATTCACTGTATATATTGTCAAAAAACATGCTCTTTTGGTCTTAAATTAAAGATGAGACTTGAATGATCACACCTATATGAGCGATTCCACGTCAAGTGATCAAGGGGTCTTACGGTGCAATGTTTACTTTGAAAATTTGTTACTCTTAAACAATTAAACATGGAAATTTGACCGAGTACAGTTTCGAAAGGTTTTTTCATGCTCTTTCGATTGGAAATAAGCATTTTGAAAAAAAAAATTTTTTTGACCAAAAAAAATCAAAATTAAAAATAAATTTTAATTTTTGGGGGGGAAGGATACGATTTTTTTTTTTTTTTTTTTAAACGAAAGCTGAGATTTTTTCCTAAAAGGACATATAAATGAAAAAGTGGGACAAGAATGTTTAAACACTGAAAAAAAGAGATTTCTACTGACCGGAGTGCTAAAAACCCGGTTTTTGGCTCTGTTTGGTAGAAATCTCTTTTTTTCAGTGTTTAAACATTCTTGTCCCACTTTTTCATTTATATGTCCTTTTAGGAAAAAACCTCAGCTTTCGTTAAAAAAAAAAAAAAAAAAATCGTATCCTTCCCCCCCAAAAATTAAAATTTATTTTTAATTTTGATTTTTTTTGGTCAAAAAATTTTTTTTTTTCAAAATGCTTATTTCCAATCGAAAGAGCATGAAAAAACCTTTCGAAACTGTACTCGGTCAAATTTCCATGTTTAATTGTTTAAGAGTAAAAAATTATCAAAATAAGCATTGTACCGAAAAACCCTAAACTTTCACCCCCTCCCCCTCGAAAAATATTGGACTAAGTTAAAAAATATTTTTACCAAAAATCACTATCCACTAGTACTACAAAAGCCCCAAGTTTAGGCACGATTGGAGAAAAAATTTTTTCCACCTTGATCACTTGACATGGAATCGCTCATATAAGTTTCAAATTTTTTCTACAATTTCTAAAAAATGTGCAGGGGTTGAAAAAATTTCCAAAAAAATTTTATTTTTTAAATTTTGTTGTCAAATTTGTTGATTGCTGTAATCTTTGTATAAATTATTAAAATTTTCAGTTATATATCATTAATCGTAGAATTTAATAATCCTTCGAATGGTATATTTGTTAATTTTTTGACATTTGTATTTACAAAAAAATCCTGATTTAATGATTGGTATGTTTTTGGGCCGTGCACGTGCAGCCGTACCGATAATTCCCGACGGTAGTGTATTTTTTCAAGATATTTAAAAAAAATTCACTAAATATAGAAAAGTTCTTTTTAGTATTCAAGAGAAAATTTTAAACATTAAAAAAATACAGTAAACAAATTTTGTTGCGAATATCCAAGAGTTTTTTTTAAAATTTATTTAACAAGTGAAGATATTTTCGTCAAATTCCGTTATAAGCTTTAATAAAAATTATCTGATGATATCTAGAAAATTTTGTTAATGTTTGCTAAATGCTTATAAAAAAATAAAATTTTGTTAATGATATTCAAGAAATAAATTTTAAAAAGTTTATAAGAAAAATAAATTTTGAATTCATTAAAAAAAATTTTCTAATATTTAAGAAAACTTATTGAGAACATACAATAACGTTTATTTTAGATATTTGAAAAAAATTCCTTGAAGGTATTACAGAAGAATTTTTGTAAATATTATAAAAACATATTGAAAACATTTTTGATAAAATTTTTGAAAAATGCAAAACAATCTGCTGAACTCCCTTAATAAATAAAGATATATTCAACAAACTATACTAAAGATTCCACTTAAAAAATTGTTAGAAGATACTTAAAAAAAAGTTCTAAATACAAAAAAGTTCATCACTAAAGAGTTTGTCAATGAATAAATAAAGTTTGTTGAGAAAAGTTTTCTAAAAATGCTTAATGAATGAAATCAGAAAAAGTTGTTCAAAAATGTTCAAGTTAACTGCTGTATATAATAAAAGAAAGTTTGCTAAACTTTATCACAACAGTTTGCTAACAATTTTCAACAATATTACTTAAACATTCTCTCACAAGTTTATTAATTAAAATACTTAAAGAACTTTGCTGCAAAAAAAAAAATTTTTTAAATTTCTTCTCAAACTTTACGAAGTTTGAGAACGAAGTTTAGAACTTTTTTAACTTTATTAAGTTTACAACTTCTATTGTCAACAATTTATTTAAAATTAATACGTTTTCAAATAAAAAATAATTATAGATGAACAAATTATTTTTCTTGTTTTTAAAGGAAGAAAATGTTGACTAAAGAAAACTAACGAATTTTCATTAGTTAGTTTTGTTTAATCAACATTTTTTGAAAAATTGCAATATAAAAAAAAATAATTCTCTTTCTGATTATTTATTATAAATATTGTGGACTTCAAATTCGTGAAATTTTTCGAAAATTGTATCAAATGGCCTAGAAAAAAAATTCTCGATCCTTCCCTTAGAAAAGAAAAATTTATAATTTTTAAATTAATCAGTTTCTTAATCAATCTGTTAATTAGAAATTAATTGCTTAATTGTAATTGTTCGCTTAATTAAAATTCGTAGTTTTTTGAAAATAGTGACAAAGGATCTAGAAAAAATTCTTGAACGTTCGCTTAGTAAAAAAATATCTTTGTAATCTTTGAAATTATAATCAATTTTTTATTCAATGTCTTAATTAATTGCTTAACTTAATAAATTTCATGAATTGTGTTCTATAAAAATTTCTTAAAAACGTTCCACAAACTTAAAATCTACGAAATTTGACACTCTTCCATCAGTCGAATATTTTCTGAAGACGTCAAACTACTTTAATATCACAACAAAATGCTTTAAAAAAAATTGCTAAATCACTCTCTCAATTTCTAAAACTCTCATAATTTCTTTTTTTAAATAAAAAAAATCACACTCTCGATAAATAAAACAAATCTCCCTAAATGATTAGGAATCGTAAAAATTCATCTCGCTAAGTAAAAAAAAGAAGCAAAAAAAAGAAAAAGCACCTAAAGTCTTGTGCCTTTGGCAATTTCATTCGTGACTTGTAATGAGACTCTCTTGAGTGCATCTAGTTTTTCAATATACAAATCCTCCGATTTTTTACATTTCTCTTTAATTTCCGTTTTATGCATTATTCCATTTCCATTGCCGATAGAAGTCACAGATGATGTCTCGCCTTTGGCACTGTTCCCCTCATCACCGAGTCGTGTACTTCCTGAATAGATTCTGGCTCTGCCAGGGAATAATTTTGAGAGCTTTAAAGCAACTGGATGCAGTAAATGTTCCTCGTAGACGTCGCCTTTAGGATCAGTCGTGAGTAGACTAACGATAATGCCAACAAGAACAGTGGTCAGACTTCCAATGAGAGCATAATACATATAAGTTATTCCATAGACGTAGTCAAGCGGTGACTTTGTGACCTCGTCAATAATTTCATTTTCAATCATTTCACTCTTTAACCACGGTGTACTCATTGTTTTCATTGCGTGCGCCGAAAATGTATCATTACGACAATCATCAATTGATAATGGTAAATTTTCCACAGGTGGATTTAACATTAAACGACCAAATGTTAACCATAATGTGCTAATATGACTGAAAATCATTCCGGCAGATGCGCCCTTCCAATTTGCACAGGGAACAAGCATTGCCAATACGAAAACTCCCAATAGTGGACCAGAAGTCGCTGAGGTCATTAGCATTGATGATTCAATGACACCGGGCAACATTCCCACGAGGAAACTTGCGCCAATTATCAATACACCATAAATAACACCAATCACTTTAATTAATCTTAATTGTTCGGTGTCCTTTAAATTACTGCATATACGCATTTGACTGAGAAAATCCTCGTACGTCACTGTGGCGAGCGATTGAAGATTTGAGACGGCTAATGTTAATGCACTATTGAATAATGTTGCCATTACGAGGCCAACAACACCGGGTAAATAAACGAAACGATCTTCAACGTAAAATGGAACGATTTCGTCGATTTTTGATATATAACCTTTTGTGAAGGGATCACAGTTTGCATAATTGGAGAATATTACCATGCCCACGATCCATGAGAGGGAAAAGAGGACAGCTATCACTGGCATGTTCGATATCATTGTTCTGAAATTGAGAAAAAAAAATTATATTTTCTCTTTTTTAGAAATTCTTTTCATTTCTAAGAGTAAAAGAAATTTCTGTATTCAATTAAGTAAATATATATAATAATATAATAATTCATAATTTACAACTAGAATTTTAATGTTGTCTAGTGAAATATTTAAAATGGTTGAGAAGTGTTGATACAATATTTTAAATTCAAAATGGCGTATTCAATATGGCTGACGAAAAAGTTATCTTGTTAACTTGTTACTTGGGGATTTCTTAGGGTTTCTGGTTAGGAATATGATTTTAATATTTCGATATGGCCACAAAAACTTCCAAACAATATGTTTTCTTCTTTTTAAAACACATAAATAGTGTTCCATGTTTAATTATCAATGAAAGTTTAGACAAAATCGTTTCTTAAAATTTTTACAATCCACTAAAAAATCTATGGCCATCTCTCACCGAACTAACTAAGAATTAGTAGAAATTTGAACTAATTTAAAATAGTGAACGACTTTTCACTAATTTAGACTTGAAGAGTAATTTTTTTGACGAGAAATGAAAAGAATTGGATTAAATGATTGGAAATTGGTTTGTAAATGAATAAAATCGGTATTATCCCGAGTCAAAATTTAGACCCTCTTTTAGTTCTCCAAAAACCTCTTTTTAACCTCTTTTAAGCCTCTTTAACACTTCTAAATCCTCTTTTGAACCTAAAAACAGCTGAAATGGATTTTTCCGCACTATATTAGAGGTTCAAAAGAGGTTGAAAAGAGAAGTAAGAAGGCTTAAAAGAGGTCCGAAAAAAGATTTTTAAAAATATTTCGAAAACTAAAATTGGGATTTTTTTCACAGAGTTATATTTTAATTGCCCTATATAGAAGATGCAAATAATAGTTTTTGAATGATTTCAATAAATCTATTACAATAGATAGAAATTTAAAAAATTTAAATTTCACAAAAATTTGAAATCCTCTTTTCAACCTCTAAACATCGGAATATGGATTTTTCTGCATCGTTTTCAGGTTCAAAAGAAGTTTGAAAAAAGAGGGTCAAAAGAGGGTCTAAATTTTGACTCGGGATTATATATCAAATAGAAACCTTATAAAACAAGTTTAAAGCGTGGGATGTCGGAACACCCCAGTTACTCCTTAGAGGGTGAGTAAATTCACATACTCCTTCTAGGGTTAAAAAAAGGGAAATATAATTAATATTTATGTTTTGTAGTTTATTAATATAACTAGCAAAGTCCTACGCGCGCGATGCGCGCGTGAATGATTCGAAGAATTCAGAAAAAATTTAATAATTTTAATTTATATTCTTGCATGTTTACAATAGTTAAGATTTTTTAAAAAATCTCGGTATTTCAACTATATTATCATTTCCACACCTCAGAAGCCATTTAAAAAAATTGCAAGAAGATCGAAGGCGGGGAAAGCAGTGATTTTTATTTTTTGTCACGGATTTTTCAGAAATCCAAAAATATAAAATAAATCAAAATCACTGCTTTCCCCGCTTTCGATCTTCTTGCAAAATTTTTTAATGACTTCTAACATTAAAATAAATAATTAGCAAATGAAAAAAATTGCTTCCAAGGGGTGGAAATTATAATTTAGTTTAAATACCGAGATTTTTAGAAAATCCTCGAAAAATCAAAATTACTACTTTTCTTGCCTTGGATCCTTTTGCGATTTTTTAATGGCTTCTGTTATTAAAATAAATATAATATTACCAAGTGAAAAAACATGCCTCTACTCAACTCAAGTTTCAAATGTAATTTTTATACATGTAATTTTCTCATGAAATCCCTCAAACATTTTTTAAGCTCATATAAATGTAATAAAATTCAAACTCAAAAGATTTAAATTATAATTTCTGCAAGTATTTTAATTTTCATTCTTATGTTTCTAATAATGGTTAAGGTATAGTTTTTCTAAATCGTATTTTCTAAAATTTTTTTTTCTAATAAAGGTGAATTTCTAAAAAACTTTTTTCTAATAAAGGTGATTTTGAAATTTTCTGTCTTCTAATAAAGCTAATTTTCTAAAAATTTATTTTTCTAATAAAGGTAATTTTCAAAATTTTTCTTTTTTCTAACAATATTCTATTTTTGTAATTGTTACGTATGACTTCGTAACTATTTTTAATTTTTTTATTAATTAAAAATTATTTATATTATATAGCTTCATTAAAATTGGGAATCTTGTAATTAGGTTAAGTACAACTAAAAGGGCAGACAAAACAACCTATCATCGTTCCAAGATTATTAATTTCAATTCTATTAAATTAGTAACTCTCATTAAACTTCCTTGGTTTCATTATTATTTAGATATGTCAATTTTATAAAATTATTGCGAAAGTCACGGACAACACCCATATTTCAAAATGAATTTCATTACAGTTTCCAAAGAGCTTGTTTTTCATCGAAAAACTCAGATGTATTGATGTCAAATATTTTAAATAAAAGACACATGCAAGTGAAACTACTGTGGTGAGAAATCATTGAACTCATGTCATGCCATTTAAGGAATTTGCAAGCTTGCGAAAAGCTTGCCTCGCAACAAGAAGTTCAATGAGCTATGTGTAATAGTATCCCCACTATTCATAATTTAACGAAATTCAGGGTGTGATCCAAGACTTGAGCCGATTAACGATTGAGTTTGACTTGGTTCCTCCCGCAACAAAGTTGTGCATATTTACTTTGTTGCTCTCGGGAATTGAGAGTTTTTTTTTTGATTATATAAAATAATATATATATTTTGTGAAGTTTCTGCGATATTTTATTTTTCGATTTGATATTTTGATTTTGTTTTGTTCATTATTTTGATAAAACGTAATTTGCATTACAATTTAAAGTGATTAATTATTAAAAATATAGTCCCAGCAAACACTGTTACAGATCTGTTACAGAACTGTGACAAATAATTGAAGAACATGTGATGTAACTGGTGACTCACAGGGGACTCACTGGGTACGCAAAATGTCGTAGTCAGAAGGTTGTCACAGTTAAGTAACAGATCTGTAACATGGTGACGAAGATACTTGTCACAGTTCTAGAACAGTTACAAATTTCTGTTACTCATATCTGTCATTAAAAAATATTTTAATTAAAATTAAAAAAATATTCCACGCTGTTCTCGCATGTCATACATACCCGGAATATTTATACATGTCGAAGAAAATTTGTTTTGCTATTTATTTAAATATTTACAACCACGAGGTCTCGAACGCAAGACGCAGCTAGGAGTGGATTATAAATCAAACGCTCTACCAACTGCGCCACGGAGGCTCATGAAAGGAAGTTTAGAATTTACATATATAACGAAGGAACTATGAAAGTGTGCTTTGTAACTTGAAAAAGGATACTGTATTTGCAACAATAGTATAATTATGTTATGTATAATATACATTATATTTAATAATGTTAATTGAAAATTGTAAATTTTCAAAGTTACAAGCATAAGGAAAGGCTTAAAAATTACTTTTTAAATGAAAGATTAAAGCAATAAATTTATGCTTAATTAATGAAATTTCTACATTTTTATAACAAATTTATATTCTATAATTTTTCATTTAAATATAAATAGATTTTACAAAATTCTTTGTGAAATTAATTTATCAAAAAAATTTGCTATTACGAATAATAATAATGTCAAACAATTAACGAATAATTACATTCTCGATTACATTACATGCACCTTTAAAACATTTATGAGACTTTTATACATAATAATATTGTTTAAATAGTCACTAGAAGAATAATAAAACTGAAGAAAATTTAAAGATAGAGTAAAAAATGCTACTGATAGTAGTATAAAAGAAATAAGAAAGCAATTTGTTGTCAATAATTACTATATGAGTGATTCTCTACAAAGTGGTAACTTTTGAATATGTTAAAATTTTCTTTTTTAATTAAATTTTTTGGAAATTTTTTATTTAGATCTTTTTAATAAAGCTTGAAAATGATTATTTTATAGATATTTGAGTTTAATTCTTTCTTTAGTTTTATATACAAACAATTTAAAAATTTGTAATTTAAAGGTTAAATAATTTATTTGAAAAAGTTAATTTTCGACTGTGAATAATTATAAATAGTGTAAATAAGCAAATAATTACTTTAAACTGCTTTAATAAATAAATAAATAATATTTTTACTCATACCTGTTATTGAAATTACTTGTTTTGATACAGGTTAATCGAGGTTAATAATATTTATTCAAGAAAACAAAACACTTCCATTACGCGAAACGAAATTAGGAACTGGAGTTTACAGGAACTGGAGTTTACAAATCAAAGAAAAAAATTCATTGAAACCGTAAAAAGTCATAAAAATAAACAATTTTTGCAGATTATTAAAGAGATTTGCTTACTCTAAATCACTATTATTTTTATTTTTTTTATACATTTAGAATTCGGCAATTTTGTCGGGTATGGAGTTACATACCATTAAAATACGCTATAAAATAATAGTAACTTTTGTAGTTTTAAATTTAAAAATTATATTTCTTTTTGCAAATTTAACATAAATACAACTTATTAACTTAATAATATTAATGGCAAATAAAATCGCACTAAAAAAGGGAATAAAATTAATGAAAATCAATGAAATTGTAAACTCCAGTTCTAAATAAAAAAAGATTGGGGAAAATATTAAAAAAATATTTTTACACAGATTTTTTAATGGAAATTAGAAAACGACACACTAAAACTTAGTTTTTGAGATGAACTTTCGAATAGAATAAATAAAAAAACGTTTAAAATAAAGTTTGTGCAAAATAAAACATATTAAACTTCATGATTCATGTGTGGAGAAACGACAAATGTGCATTTTTTGAACATTTGCAATTGAATTACAACTTTTGTTTTAATTAAAAAAATTTTTTCGATTATGATATTACTAAAAAACATATTGAAGATTAATTATGCAAAAGTTTGAAGTAGATTAGATAACAATTTTTCAAGTTATTAAATAGGAAACAGAGGGGAAGCGAAAGTGACCACTTAATGAAGAATCACCCGTATAGGTATTTTTTATAAATTATTACGAATTATATTATATTATATTAAAAATAATATGAACTACACCAAATTTGTTAGAAGAGTTTAACATTGTTCGGACAATGTTAAACTGTATATTACAGAACTGCATTGCAACAGATGTTTAGACCAATTACACAACAATGTTCATACACAGTTATAGAACAAGGTTGGAACAACAGTTACAGAAAATTTGCGACATTAAAGTTATGTAACTCTTACATCACATTGTGATAGAACTGTGACATAAGCATAATACAGAACTATTCTGTAACTAACTTGTAACTATGTTCTAGAACTCTGTTACAATCAGGTTCTATCACAGATCTATAACTAGTTAGGAACAAATGTTCTATAACACTGTAACCTCACTGTTATAGAATACTTATATAACGTGTTTGCTGGGGTGTATTTAAACAAAAAGTAAAATAGATCAATTGAATAAAGTTTAAGTCCGGTGACCCCGAGTTTTGAATATTTATTCAATTGTATCGAATCAGTGAAAAAGAAAAAGGAATTTATTTCATCGTGAGTTTTCAAATAGTATAAATATATATGAGGATTATTATTGAAAATAAAAAAGTGACCAAGGAAATAAAATTGGAGTACAGAAATACTTGTCTCAAAACAGGTGTATACTAAACATTCCACCTGAGGAAGTAATAAGATACTTTTCTGAAATAAGTTGAATGAAATGAAATTGTTTTGGTGAGTTGATTTAATATTGTCCATCACAGCACACAATTTATACAATTACACATTCATTTTGATACTACATGATATTGTGCAAAAGAATAGATTATTGTTTTTTTATATAATTGATAACAAGCATATAAAATTAAAATTGTCATGTGGTTTAAATATATACAATTGTTAATAATAAATCATATATTATTTTAACTAAATGGAATAGCGTATCATTGAAATCTTACACCTATTACAAAATATTTTCCTTCCTTTATTTTCATTATAAATACCGTCTAATCGGAGCCGCTGAATAATAGTGGACTTAAGAAAAGAATCCACTACCTTTATTTTAAATTAATGAATTATTTTATTACATTTTCACGAAGAGTACCTAAGTTATTCTTGGATGAATCAGTTAAAGTTCTGTCTTTGTTGAATAAGTCAATGTAGATTTTAATATAGTATAATTAAATTTTGTTTAATTAATAAATTTGTTTAATTAATTAATATTTATCGATTCATCTGTAACAGTAATCACGATCAATAAGTACATATGATTAAAAAATAAAATTTACGAAAATTTGTTAATTCTTTAAAAAAATACTTGATATTTCGTTAAAAAATTATAATAAAAAATAGAAATTATGCAAATTACTTAACAAAAATTTTAAATAATCTAGTTAAAAATCGTAATTAACAAATTATAGGGATTTTTTCCCTAATGATATTTAAAAATATCTAAAAAATTTTTTTATAAATATATTAACTTTGGAAATTTAAATGTAAAAATGATGCAAATTATTTTTTTTCAAAGAAGAATAGAATTTTGTTAACAAATTGTGATAAGAAATAGTAATTTTATAAAAAATTTTCTTCATTTTCAAAAAGAAACTTATAATTTTGTAAACAGAATTGTAATTGAGAAACAGAAAATTTAATCTTTATTTTTAAACAATTTTCTAATTTTTATCAAAATTATGGAATTTTAGAAATTTTAGGAAAATAAACATTAGAAATTATAACTTTTTATAAAAACTTTTTTCAGAAAACAGATTTAATTAGAAATCGCCTTTTTAGACAAAAAGGTGTAGAAAATACTTTTTTTTTAAAATAGTGTTCGCCTACCCTAATAATTGTTAGTATTCATCCGAAAAATATATTGAATACATTGAAATGTTGATAATTGAAGGAAAGAAATGTTTAATAGAATTTATAAGTATTATTTTTTCTGAAATAAATAAAGTACCTGATTCTGCGTAGCCGGAATGGCAAGAGTATCAAAAAATGTAAAAAATGCGGAATTTTTTTTTAAGTTTATTGAATTATCATTTTATAGGAGACTGAATTTACCAAAAGAAATAAAAATTGTAAAGATTTAATTGAAAAACACTATTTTAATCTAAAAAACATACTAAATATTTAAACTTCAAAATTTAAGTGTCTTTAATCAATTTATTTTTGTCAAACAAAAGTGGCAAATAAAATTCAGTTCACTAATTGAATAATATTGTAATAAAATTGTTCGATGTTAGAATTTAAACTTTTTATCAATGCCAAGTTTGAGAATTTCATTAAATTTATAAGAATTAAAAAAATAATATAGAGAATTCTTGAAAAAATTACATGTATTTACCATTTTTAACATCAGTTGAATAGAGGAATGTCTTGATCATTTTTCTTTTATTTGTAAAAAAATTTCTTTGCATCAAGTGGTTATCACACATATGGGAATACTCATAACCAAAATTTCTATCAATCAAAACATTAATTACTATAGAAAAACAAAAGACGACACTTTCTGTTCACGGAATAGCAAATTATTATTATGTATATTATTAAAATAAAAAAATAAATATAGTTTTGATATTTATTTCATACGTTAAGGGCATTTGAACCATAGTGACGTCACAGCTTTAAAACATGCTTGGCACAAACTGTGACATCATAATGTTTCAAATGTCCTTAAAGTAAGTTTTAGCTTTATAATTAGAACCAATATAAAAAAATTAAAAACAAAAAAAATTAAAACAAATTATTGGGTTTAAAAATTCATTTTAAAGTTTTCTTTTTAATTTGTTTGAAGTAAGTTTTAGTTGTTAAATAAATTTTCTGTTTGCTGTTGATTTTTTGAATTAGTAAAAAATCTTCGCTTAATTTATGTGAATTTTTGTAATTTTAATTATGATGGTACAAATTATTTTCCAATAAACAACAATTTCTGGGTAGTAGTAAATAAAATTTTCAGTCGGACGCTTTTTAATTTGTACTCTTTTTTAAGATTTATGAAATTTTCTTCAACTTTGATGAAAGTAGTAAAAAATATTAAAGGTCAGACATAAGGTCTCTATATTTTACATTGTAATTTTTATTAGTAGGAAAAGTATGTTTCAGTCAGACAAGTAGTTTTAACTTTTTAAAATTTAAATGAGTAGTAAAAATAAGTTTCGGTTAGACTATTTGAAATTTTCTATTATAAGTAATAGAAACAAATTTAAATTATTCAAAATTTGTCAATAATTCTTCTAATGTCGCAAACAAGTATCATAAAATTTGTAATTTTCAAAAAATTATTCCTTCCTTTTCATTCGAAACAAGTAAAATTTAGAGAAATAAAAATAAATAGAGGCAAAAATTGACTGAGAAACCTATTTTAAAAAGGTATATATAAATAAAAAATCAAATCAAAAGAAAATTTTTTTGTCATAAATGGACAAAAGTATCAAAATTTTCTAAAAAATGTTCATTTGGCACTGAATCAAAAAAACAGTGAAAACATTCACAGACGAATATCAATAAATAAGAAAATTACATCACTAATTTTATTTTAAGAACAAGAGAATAGAACAACGAAACGTTTCTCAAATTTTGAAATATAAACATTTTCCAAATTTCCCAGAAAACCAAAAGTCAATCCTAACCTTTTAAATCTAATCGTATAAATTTTCCCCACCAGTCAAGGTATATCCCGAGTCGAAATTTAGACCCTACTTAGCCTCTGAAAATGTAGGGCTTATTCAGGTTTAGCAGTCGTAAAGTAGGGTCTGATTTCAATACAATTTTTAAAAACTAGACCCTCCTTTGACTCCCAAAACAGGCTAAAATTTGCCAATCTTCTATTTGGAGAAGCAAAGGAGGGTCTACTTCTAAGAAACCTATACCGTACTTTTATACTTCGTAGACCCTATTTTCATACTCCTAGACCCTACAATTAGAAAAAGAAAAATTTGAAGATTTGCTCAGATTCAAATGAAGCACTTGGGATGAGTAAAATGCATTAAAAAATAATTCAAAATTTTCTTTTAGAATGTAGGGTCTAGGAGTATGAAAGTAGGGTCTACGAGGTTTAAAAGTACGGTATAGGTTTCTTAGAAGTAGACCCTCCTTTGCTTCTCCAAATGGAAGATTGGCAAATTTCCGCCTGTTTTGGGAGTCAAAGTAGGGTCTAATCGTATTAGAATTAGACCCTACTTTACTACTCCTAACACTCAATAGACCCTGAAAATTCAGGGTGAAAGTAGGGCTTAAATTTCGACTCGGGATTATTCAAAATGTCACACTAAAAAAAAGTTTTACTTTCAGCCTGTTTTCGAGGCTGAATTTAAGGTGTAAACGGTGTCAGCCCCATTAAACAAGGACAGACTTATGTGAAATACATGGGCTGAATTTAAGGTGTAAACGTAGTCAGACTTTTTTTTCCTGTGGTTTATTTCTAAAAATAATTTCCCATCACATTTTAAACAAGAATAATTTTCAAGCCACAAAAATTTCTTTCAAATAAGGAAAAAATGATATAAGACAATTTGATTTCAAAAAACTTAATTATACCCTTTTGTTCAAATAAAATCAATTTATTTTCGTTAATAAAGAAAATCAATGTTTCTTTCGAAACAAATTAAATTATTTTTCTTTCGAAACAATAAATCGAATTTTCAGAAGGGAAAAACTCAGTTAAAAGAAAAATTAATTTATATAGAAATTTCAGAAATATCTCAAACGTAGTGTGAATAGGAAAGAATTGTAAGAGAATGAAGAATTAATTAATGATTGATGATTAATCTAATGATTCATCGATGAGAAATGAGTAAACAATATAGGATTTTAAATATATTGCAACAATTAGCATATATAAAACTATTTTTAAATTCTCGTTCGAAAGATTATATTTAAAATATAAATATTTACGTACTTGACAACCTTGCCACGACTACCCATACTGCAGTATCTTTGCACAAAATTTTGTTGACATCCAAAGATTGACAAGCTCATGAAAAGCTGTCCAAGCGTTGCCGAGACTGTCGTAACTCGAATTGTTGGATCCATATCAAAACTATAATATTGACAAAGAAATTTTTTTTAATCGTTGACTTCCTGATTTCATTGATTTATTCAATTTAGATTTTTTTATTTACTTTTCGCCCCCTTTTATGGGGAAAAATTTTCAATTTAAATGGAATAATTATTTATATCTTCATTAATAAAAAATGCTAGATTTTTCACTTTTAAAAAGAAAAAAAAATTCAATCCTTTTTTTATTTTATGTATCAGTTTTTATTTTATTCTATTTTCTATTTCATAAAAATAATTTTTTTTCTATCGGAATGTAAGTAAAAAAAATTACTAAACATATTAATTGTATTTTTTTCTTTTTTTATTCAGTAAATATAATTTTAAAAAAACATTTGGTACTGAAACAAATTTACTTACTTGAAAAAATTAAGTCGTCCTCGTTCTTTGGTTATATTATAAACAGTTCCTACACCTCCAACATCAATAGTCCCGTGAATTACAATCACTATCGACACAATCATCATTGTCAACCCTTGGATGACATCAGACGTTATGGCAGCTTTCAAACCACCCTTTTTTAAAAAACAAAAAAAAATTATTATTTTTAGTCGAAAAGTAAATTAAAAATATAATTAAAAACTAAAATTAATTAATTATTTATTTAAAATTCATTAACTGAAAAACCACCTTTTGTATTAAAAAAAAGGAAAATAAAAGAATCGAATTATTATTTGTAGAAAAAATTAAATTATTGAAATTAGTTGATTAATTAGTAATGTAATTAAAAATTATTAACTAAAAAACCACCCTTTTTTGGAAATACAAAAAAATACAAACATCGTTATTCTTGCCAACAAATTTTTAATCATTGAAAAAATACAGCTCCAAGAGGAAATAAAACAAACAAATAAAATTATAAAAGAATACAATATCTGTTTAAAAATAGTTTTTATCATTGAAGAAAATTCTCTTTTTTTATTTTTTTCTTGTAAACAAAACCAATCTTATTACAAGATTTTTTTCTATTTCTTTGGATTTTAATGAACTTAATTGCAAACTTAATGAAAAAGGAAAATAACAAAAAAGAGATGAAAAGTGTTTTAAAAATTTTATTATAGACTCAAATCGTAAAATTTTATATTGCAACAAAGAACAAATGAAATGTTTCGTGAATTTTACGACTATTTTAAAACAGTATTGATGGCATTTTAAATTTTATTTAATACTAACTGTATTTCTTTTCTATTTAAAAGACTTTAAATTAATAATAGTAATATTTTTCAATTTCAATTTACTTTTTTTTAATTTTAATTTTCATTTTTTCAATTTTTTTTTGTCAACTTTTAAGAACTACTTATTTTATTGCAATGACTAAAAAATATTTAAATTAATAATAAACAATCATTTTTTAATTAATGGAAATAAGAATTACCTAAGTAATAAATTAATATTGTTTTTCAACTCACCATTAAAGTGAAGGCAACGGAAATTGAAGTTATTCCAATAATACTAGCCCAATATGGCAAGCCTATCAAAGTATACAATGCGACACATGGCGTGAATACTATAACTGAAAGATTCAACAAACTTCTAATAACGTAGGAAAAGCTTGCAAGACATCGCACCAGTTTCGAATTAAATCTAAAAAAAGAAAAAAATATTTATTAAATAAAAAATACTATTACATATCAATTAGTTATAAGTTTTTATAAATTATATTTTGTATTATTAAAAATAAATAATAAATAAATAATAATGGTAAAAAAAATAATAATAATAATAATAATAATAAGCGTAAAAAATTTATAATAAATGTATAATAATACATTAATGTTACTACCTAGAAAATATAATTTGCTATTTATTTATTTATTTATTTTTCTGCTTGTCTTTTATTTTCTTTGATATCATTAAAAATTAAAATTTTACAAAAAAAATATAATTTTAATGATTAATAGTTAATTAAGATTTACATAATAATACTTGCATTATTGTAATTTTTTATTATTCGCAATTATTCAACTTGAATAATAAAAAAATGTGAAAAGAAATTTAAATAAGACACTACTAAATGTATATTTTGTATATATTTTGAAGTATTAATAAAGCAAATAATTATTTTTCAATTTTATTATTTTATCTTTTTAAAAAACAAAGTATGAAGTATATAAATTACTATTAAAATGACACTTTTTTCTTTACAGCGGTATTCTTTTTTTTTATCAACAACAGCTGTAAATTGAAATATGTATTTGATGAACCGAGGAAAAAAACCGTCGATAACATTAAAATATAATAATAATAATTAAACAGAAGGATACGCATCTAAAAAAAAATTGAAAATATTCCACTAACAATATATTAATGAAAAATAATAATAAATACAACAAAAATGTCAAATTACTTTCAATATATAACAAAACTTTTGTACTTTTAGCATGTCCCGTTTGCATAAATAATAAATAAATAAAATAAAGAAATTTTGAAGAAGGAAAAAATTGGTAAAATTGATATTTTAATTATAATAAAAAAAATAAACTTTTATGTTTTAAAGAAAATAAATATTAGTAAAATTGTAAAATATTCCAGAGATTATATTTCTGTTTATATCAATAACACTGCTGACGAAAAAGAAAAATAAATAAAACAGTAAAGATATCAGTTTAGACTAATATTGAAAAAGTGAATTTTTCTATCGATTATCAAAAATGTTTTTTGGTATTTATTATTTTTTTTTTTGTCAATTTAAGTCAGTTAGGTAATTATTTTATTTTTCATATGTATCTAATTGAAAAATACTTCACTTCAGTGAAAATGTATATAAAAAGTAAAATAAAAATTTTTTATTGAAAAAAATATAAAAAAAATATTTACAAAACTTTTTTTACACATTTAATTTATTATTTTCTGTTTTTGAAATAATAAAGTGATCACTTTACGATGAGGGAGAATATATATATATATATATATATCTGATAAATCAAAATCACAAACGTAAAGCTTTTGTGAAAGATCTCTAATTTAACAAAGCGCATTCAATACTCTACTTGATTTACATTCAGTGAAAAAAATATGGAATTTCAAGTGGTCATTTGAAATCCGGGTTAAATTTTATTTCGTTGAACAAAATGAAAAATTTCCTTTAAAATTTTAAATGGAACATAAACCTTTTACTCACAAACGATATAATAATAAATAAGTTTTTTTTAACCCAAAAAAGATAATTCAATTTCGCTGTAAAAAATTATTTTTTGTAATTTTTTTCTATAGAAATGTTGTAAGACAAAAGTAGCCGAACGATAATTTTATAGACAAATAATTAAATAAATAAAAAAAAAGAAATTATGTTAGCTCGTAAAATAATTTTTTTGCAAATTGTATTGCACCGAAATAATTATTTCTTATTGTTAAGCTACTAAATATTATAATATTAATTCACTGGAATTTAATAATTGACATGAAAAATTAATTAACTAGTTCTATTCTTTAAATATTAATGAAAATTATTATTATTAACTAGAAGAATGAATAATTGATTATATAAAAAATATTATCACAAATTAATACAGTACCGGACAAAATTGTGAGTTCATCCATTTTCAAGGGAATGAAAAAAATTTTTTAACATAAAATTTATGAAAACCTAAATTTTTTTTCGGCATTTGTTTTGAAAGATGATAAAATTTTGAAAAGAATAAGACTTTACAGAAGTCATTTGGCCAGTATTTTTTTTATATATTTTTAAAAAATCGTCAGTTTCAATAATTTAAATAACTTCTAAAATAATGAAAGCTTTTTAATTATCTTAAGCTTATTTTAAAGGGCATTTTCTGCAGAATAAGAATTACTTATAGGCATTAACCTGTCATTTTTTTCTTAGAATAAGCAGGACGTCAAGGTCAGCAAAAAAAATTCAATAAATTTGAAATAATTTTTTTTTACTAAAAACTATTCTAGAAAATATATAAAATATGATATGGTATAGATTTTTCATGAAAATTTAATAAAAAAAATATGTTTGAATTTTAAAAATTATTTTTCTTTTAATAAGATTATTTCAAATTTAAAAAATTTTTTTGTCTGACTTTGACGTCCTGCTATTTAAAGAAAAAAATTACAGGTTAATGCCTATAAGTAATTCTTATTCTGTAGAAAATGACCTTTAAAATAAGCTTAAGATCATTAAAAAACGTTCATCATTTTAGAAGTTATTCAAATTTTTGTAAAACATTGAAAATTACGATTTTTTAAAAATATCTAAATAAAAAAATGACCAAATGACTTCTGTAAGGTCTTATTCTTTTTAAAATATTATCATCTTCCAAAACATATACCGAAAAAAATTTTAGTTTTCATAAATTTTGTGTTCAAATATTGTTTCATTCCCTTGAAAATTGGTGGACTCATAATTTTGGTAGGTACTGTGTAAACACATTAATTAAACATTGTAAGTAAATGTAAAGTTCGCGTTCTTGGATATATAACCTAAAAAATGTTAAAAATTAAATTAATTAATATTACAGATGTATTGATAATGACATACGTGAGATGTCGAAACGTCTACCTTTGTTCATTTAAGTCATGTGATTGACTGTGAAAAATAAAAGAAATATATATGGACTTATTAAATGAGAATGGAGACTTTTGTCTTTAACATCTTACATCAAATAAATAATAATTATGTTAATTATAAATGAGTACAATCCTTTTTTTTAACAAATTAAATATCTTACGCACAAATTGAGTCATAATTTTTATAGAGTATAAAAGTAACCCATTAAATTTTTTTAATAGTTATGCAAATTATCTTGGCAAAAAAATATATCTGTATATTTATGACATAATTTCTTTAGGCTCGTGAGATAAAAAAATCGTTAAAAACTTTATATATTTTCCAAAAAGAAATTACCCTCCTGAAGGTTTTTTTATTAATAAAAAAAATCATGTGACTTTGAAATTATTGTTATAAATAGTAGTTGATATTTTTGTAATTTTAATATTATTGTTATTTTTAGTAGTATTATTATTATTATTATTAATATTTACCATAATTTTGCAATATATTTTAAAATTATTATTTTATTACTATAAGTTAGTAATTATTATTTAATTATTTTAAAATGTTTTTTTTAATTTATTATTTAAATTATTTAATTATCATGCATTATACTTAGAATGATGAATTTAAAAAAAAATTTAGTCAATATATTTTTTAAATTTCATACTTGCAATGAAGTAATCGCCAAATAATTTGTAACTAAATAATTGCTGATTAACGTTTACTTAATTATTTTACTTAACCATTTATTAATATTTTTTATCTTAAGGAAACAATCAAAAAAATGTTATTGCCCATTTTTTATGAGGCAATAACTATTTAAGTAAAAAACTAATTAGGGTTCGTCATAAGCAGAGAAATTTTACAATAGCAAAGAAAAAAAATAATCGTTTAGAATTATACTAATAATAATAAAAATAAAAAATAGTTATAGTTGTTTTTATTATTATAAACAATTATAAAAAATAAATAAATCTAATTTTTCTAAATTAAAATTATATGTAACAAATAAATCAAAGAAATAAAGGGAAAAAATTATAAAATGAATATTTTTTACTCACCTCATGTCTAAATACTGATAAACGGACGTGATTCCCAAACTGTAATAAACGGGAACAAAGACAAAGCATACAATGGGATATGCGAGAAGCATTCCAAATAAAGTTTCCCACATGGCACTGCCTTTAAAATAAAGTTCCGAAGGATAACCCAAAAATGATCTTACTCCAAGGGTTCCTCTCGCAATTGACAGCATCATTGCCCCCATTGAAACAGTTCCCGTAGCAAAAACATAATCAGCTTTCGTCTCTTTTTTCCTCGCACGAAATCTACCCCACAAGGGTATTACAAATGAGGCAGCAATGAAGGCCACAAAAACCAAATAGTCCACTATCAAAGAAGATGTACCCATTGTCATCCGTAGATACGCAAAAGTTCCGTCTACGAAAGAAGAAAAGAAAAAATTATTTCTTCCTCAATTTTTTTCTCTCTCCCATTTTCCTTTTTTTATATCTTCAATCTAAACATTTTCGTCAATTTTTCTTTCACACTTTTTTTCCTGAATAATATTTTTCAATTTTGCGAATTTTTTTGTTTTGTTTAATTTTTCTTTGAAATTTTACTTTTACACTTTTTTAAACAATTTTTCTCAATTTTGCAATTTTTTTATTAGGGGACATTTCTGCATTTTTGTAAAGACTAATTATTAGAAAAATTATGTATTTCCTCTTTAATTTTTCCCCCTTTTCTGTTTTACATCTTCAACCTAGTTTCTTTTAAATTTTTCTTTTACACTTTTTTTTAATAAAGTTCTTCAATTTGTCAAATTTTTTTCTCTTTTTGATTATTACAGATCTTTCTTGTAAAAAAGTCTTTATTATTTATGTTGAGAGTAATGATTAAATATTATTAAAGAACTTGTGTATTATTTGAAATAATTTTCTCCCCCTTTTTTTCAATCTTCAATCTAAACTTTCTTTTAAATTTTTCTTTTACATTTTTTTTAAGTAACATTTTTCCGAGGGGGTATTAACTTGTGTATTAGCGTGTACGCTCCTCACGTAATAGTCATATAATAGTCACGTAATACAGTGTAAGAGAGCATTATTACATCAGTGTAATACCACATAATATAGAGATAATATTCTGTAATAATCAATAATACCCTGTAATAATTCTGTAATACCCTGTAATACTGGATAATACGCGTAATAGCAGGAAAATTTAGTTTATTAGAGTGTACATCATTTTAATCTGTAATTACCCCCTCGCATTTTTCAATGTTGTGATTTTTTTTTATTAGAGACCATTTCTGCATTTTGTTGAGACTAATTTTTTTAATCCTTATAAATAAAATCAGACGTCTGTCTGTTCATTGCTTAAAATTTCAAAATTTTGTCATGAATAGTTGTTATGGACATCAGAGATTCCATAAATATTCGTAAAAAAAATCGAAAATTTCCAAATTTTACATTTTTTCATGGATTGCTTTTAAATTTTCTATAGTACTTGAGTATTACATGTTATTTCGTTACATTTTAGCATAATACAATATTCTTTAATTGCAAGAACTTCAGAAATATTGAAAAAGGAGATTTTTTATGATTAAAATTATATTGCAGGAAGAAAACTTAGATGTTAAAAAGTTTTGTTATTTTTATCCTAGATTTAACTTTTAGAGATGTTTTGAGCAATGTAAAGACAAAAGTTAAACACGGTGTCTATTTTTGTTTAACAAAATTTCCGGCTTTGTTCAAATTTTTCCCGGTTTATCTTTTTTCATCAAATTTAAATTTACTTGATTTTAACCATAAATACATAAATCTACAAATGACTACAAAAATTTACTTATTTTATGAAAATAGTCTTTTTTAAGTTCATATAAGTATAGATTATAATATAATCTAATGTAGGAAATTATTTGCTGATGAAGAATTTTAATTAAGGAAGATTTCGACTATATCAGCAATTAGTGACATCTATTAGACGTCAATTGAACTCTTTGGTTTAGAGTCAGGTGTTATTTTTAAGATAATTATTCCGATATGGTTGTCGGTAAATAATTATATTTTTGAATTTAATTTTTGATCTGAAAAAATAAGCTGCGTGAACGACTGCACTGTGCATCTGTGAGGACTCGAACCCCAGTTAATAGCTGCCTTTCGCGGGACTAACGCCTACCAATGCACCATGCCAACACAGCCTGGACGTTCACGTTTCTTATAAGAAACTTATACTGAGTATAAGAAACGTGAACTGTGTTGGCATGGTGCATTGGTAGGCGTTAGTCCCGCGAAAGGCAGCTATTAACTGGGGTTCGAGTCCTCACAGATGCACAGTGCAGTCGTTCACGCAGCTTATTTTTTCAGATCAAAAATTAAATTCAAAAATCTAATTATTTACCGACAACCATGTCGGAATAATTGATTGACGTCTAATAGATGTCACTAATTGCTGATATAGAAGGAGTTTACACCGTAAGCCTTAAATATAAGTCTCCGCGAGCATAAACGGATATGCCTCCATGAGGATATACTTGCGTCTGCGCAAAGTGTTTGCCTGCAGCTGTGTTGTGAAAGAGTTTGCCTTGACCACGTGTTCGCGCAGGCGCAAATATATGCTCTTGGAGGAATATCCGTTTATGCGCGCGGAGGCTTATATTTAAGGCTTACGGTGTAAACTGTCTCATAGTCGAAATCTTCCTTAATTATAATATAATCTAGTAATATTATTACTAGTTGTCGTACCCGTATTTGACGGGTTTTTGTTTCTAATATTAATACATTTAACAGGGTGTCTACCAACCGGGAAACACTAGGAATTTGCCAAACCGGGAATTTTCTTATCAAATTAAAAAAAGTTTTATTATATTAATTCGCTTTAAAAAAATTGCTTTTCACTTTAATGTTTATTGATGTAATATAATTATGAAATCAGACTCGAGTCAAAATTTAAGCCCGACTTTCAGCCTACAATTTAATATAGATCTTATTTTAGATTTTAACAGTCGTAACGTAGGGATTATTGATTTCTGATACAATAATTAAAGTACAAAAAATTGACAAATATTGTTCTCTGCATTTGAATTAATTAAAAATAATTTGATAATAAAATGTCGGTCACTGATTCAAATAGTAATATTTTCCTACTGAAATAGTTAATGGTAACTAATTATTATTTTTTTCCGGTTAAATCAAATTCCTAGCTATTTCCCTGTTTTCCAGATTGGTAGACACACTGTTAAATGTATTGGTAGAAACTAAAATCCGTCGAAGACGTGTACGACAGCTAGTTACTAAATAAATTGTGTATTATTTAAGGGCATTTGAACCATTATGACGTCACAGTTTGTGCAAAGCATGTGCCTTAATACATTTATTTGACAATTAAATAAAATTTAATTTTATTGTAAAAATAAAATAAATATAACATTTAATAATATTCCTTTTTTTACCCTTTATTTAAAAATTTTTTTTGTAATAAAAATCCTGGATTCGGTTATTTGGTTTTATTATTTAATATTATTGTTTATTTTTATTTATTGTTAGTCACAATATTATTTAATAATTTTTGTGATTTTATCCATAACTCCGAGACAATGTTATTTAATATTAATTAAAATATTAATATATACTGCCGTCCAGTTTAAAAAAGGCACTATCTACATATTTTATGAAAAATGAGTTTTTTATACCGTTGGATTCGTAGTGAAAAGACGAATCTAATTGTCGTATTCGTAATTGAAAATTTTAATTAGATTAGAAGATAATTAGCGGTTAATTAAACTATCTACAGAGATTTTCGAGAAATATTTTTTAAAGTGTCACTATCTGCAGAAGGAACCGACCTATCTACAAAATTTTTAGGATTTTCAACCCACTTGATCCCTGAAATCCTGATTCACGAGCACTATGTACATAGGTTAGTCAGTAAACTGGTCTCAAAAGTCACAAAAGTAGAGAACTATGTACATAGTGACGTTTTTCGTACATATTTTTCTCGAACTTTGGTTAACTTTCTCCCAGAGAGAGCACTATCTACAAGTTTTATTATGAAAATAAAATAAAAATAATAAAATAATTTACAAATAAAGCTTTTATTTTGTATTAACAAATATTTTTAATGCAAATTAAAAAACAATTTTAATTATTTTTTTTTGTAAAGTTAACATTTAATTTAATAAAAATTTAATGCAGAACATAATAATCAAATAAAATAAAGTGATAATAGTAAATAAAATTTATGTATTGAGGGGCTGATAGTAAAAATGGTTTAAAATAATAACGGGAGCAAAAGTGGACTTAGAAGCAAAAACAGATTAAAATGATTGTGTAATTTCCTGATAAATTAATTATAATAATTACAAAATAATAATTCAAATAAAATAAGTTTTTTTATTATTGACAATATTTTTTAAGCATTATTATAATTAATTTATCAATAAATTACATAATCATTTTAACCCGTTTTTGCTCTCAAGTCACTTGTTTCCTCTTTTGCTCCCGTTATTATTTTAAACCATTTTTACTATCAGCCCCTCTATTGTTCGTGATTTTTTGTTCGGTATTTTCAAAATTAAAAAATATAATATAATAATAAATAAAATAAAGTATAAAATAATAATAAAAATATAACAGAAATAAAGGATTGTGTTAGAAAATAATGTAGATAGTGACGCTTTAAACAGGAAAGTGGACCGACAAAGCAATTTTAAACGTACTATCTACCACATAGTGCACTTTTCATGTATTCTCCATAATTTTCGGATAAAAAATGTGCACTATCTACAGTTTTATTAATAAATAATTAAAATTAATAATTTTTTTTGCACCAATGAAAAGAGCGTGTCCGAATTAGTCAAGAATATAAGTTTGTTTACAAAATTTTAAATTTTATTAAGAGATCCAGATGCAAACGCGTTTCCTTCAATGTCTCCGATTGAGCTAAAATGTAGATAGTGTCTTTTATAAAAAGGACGGCAGTATAGTTATTAATAGTATTTAATATTAAGAGAAATTTTGTATTAATATTAATTTAATATTTTTATATTATTAAATATTTAACATTAATATTCAATAATAAATATTAAAACTTCAATTATAATTTTAAACTTTTTTTGAATTTAAAATATGATATAACATTACCTTATAATTTAATTTAAATTCAACCCTTATTAGAATTTTTTTCCTAGCCAACTTTTTTATTTACATTCAAAAACAAAAAACGAATTTTTTATTTTCCGAAAAAAAATGAAACTTTTCTTTTCTATAAACTTTGCAATTTCTCACAAACACACACCGGTAGCGTGTCGCGTGTCTTGTTATGTAATTCGATATAAGCGGAATGAGTGAGCAAAGCAAAACGATCAGTGTGGTACGACGCGACGATTGGAGTGAGAGTGCGTATACTAACAGCTGAGCTCAAGCACTTGGTGTTCTTATGCTAACGACCCAGATTGTGTGGGACAAGGATGGAAAGATTATTGTGAGTGAGAAAGATGAAGAGAAAGAAAAAAGCGGCAGAGCACGTGCTTTTTGCTTTATAGCGCAAATTGTCATTATTTTGTATGCTCTCTCTCTCTTCCTCTCATTCTCTTTTTCTTATCAATAATCTAACGTTGCTCAAGTCTTTGAAACACATGACTTTTTTCAATTTTTATTTTTTTTTTAATAAGTAACAAAAGTAGGGAGAAGACGGAAGAGGGGGGAAGGGAAGATTAAATGAACTCGTGATTTACTGACTTGCAGCATCCACGACCTAGGGTCCTGGAGCACCTGATAATTTCAACGTATACAATAAATTCAAGTAGGAAATTTTTTTTACACCCAAAAATTTTGGGAAAAAAATATAGGAAAAACAAAACCGAGTTTTTTCTTCATAATTTTTCTTGAATTTATGAATTATTTTTAATAAATAAATAAAAAATTGTAATTTATAATTAATTGTTATTTAAAACTTTATAGTAGGTACTTTTCTTTTTTTTATTTTTTCTTAATATTTTTTTCAAGAAAGTGACAATATTTAAAATTAACTTTGACATTTTCTAATATTTTACATCACTTCATTTCACAATTGAATAAAAAATCATTGTTGTAGTACGAATAATTATTTGAAAATTTTATAAAAAATTTAGGATTATTACTTTTAATACAAGAACGAAAATTTTTATTTCAGAATAAAAGAAATAAGTATAATTATTACCTAAATAAAATAAGACAAAAAGTATTTTTAATTTAAAAATCTTATTTTTAAATATAATTATTATTAATTTCATTATTAATTTTAATATTAATTTATTCTTGAAAAAAATAGAAAATTGTTAACTTATTAATGTTTTAACTTAAAAAAAAAATTTTAATTATTTTAACAAATCATTCAAAATTAGGTTAATAAACACTAGATTGGACCAAATCGTAAGAAAGGACTTGTTCTCTTAATTTTTGTAAATAAAAAAGCACATAATAGTAAATAAATAACAAAAAGTTAATATTATATTGAAGTAGTATTACATTAATATTTAAGTTAAATAATAGGGAAGACTGGGGCGAAAGGTTAAATTTTGCATAAATGATTTTTTTTACAATATAATCCGCTTAGATGAAAATATTTATAGATCAGTATTGTAGGGCAACTTGTCCTCTACAACTTTCAATAAAAAAGTTTCTGATATTTTCGCATAAAATACATGTTTTGTCCTTTTTTGAAAATTTTGCTTTTTTAACTTTTCGCCCCATGCTGGGTCGAAATGTTTAATGACTGGGGCTAAATGTTAAATTCTATTTCTAGCCTACTAAAACTATTTTCTGATAGGTGTTAAGTAGTAGATAAGTTAAAGTATATACGTAAACAAGTAATCTTGTTAATAAAAGATCTGTGTTTATTTAACAAAAGCTTTAGAACAGTTATAAAGTTAATAAATTAAAATTTCAAAAAAAAAAATTTTTTTTTTTGGTTTATTTAACGTGAACGGTCTTGTTTTTTGACAGAGTACTTGCCTAATGTCAAATAAATAATTTTTAAACAAATAAACCCAAAAAAATGAAAAATGTAAAAAACATTTTTAAAACAACATGTAAAAATACATTTAACATTTCGTCCCACCCATTATTTAACTTTTCGCCCCAGAGTGCATTTTTGGCTTTAACAATAAATATAAAAAATCTGACTAAAGATGATAAAGAGATAGGTATATCTCTTTAGGGGACCCAAATAAGGACCTAAAAAAATCGCGATGAGAATAAATTCAAAAAATATACTTAAAACTTAAAAGTTAATATTTTCTTTTACAAAAAAATTTTCAAAAGTAGGGTGAAAACAAACTTTAAATATGGACACCACAAAAATAAACAGAATGTCACATAACTCCGGACATTTATTTAGAGTCTCCCCTAGTTATGTAATATTTTTAAAAAATACGAAAATAAATTTTGCAATAAAAAATTATGTTATAATAAGTAAAAATATTTTCGATATTTATTAATACTGTGATTTATAAAAAATTACGTCAATTTTGATTCTTATTTTTTTTTTGTCATTTAGAAAGCAAAACTCCTGTCGCAGATTTTTCAGTGCTTAAAATTTAATTAGAAAACTGAAAACAAAATGCAAGTTTATCATTATCATTCTGACGGTCATGGATTTTAGAATTTTCCATTTTGATGCTTTTTCTCGGAAAAGACCATAAGATTGTAAAGAAGCATTACCTTTAGATTTCTGATAAGAAAACAAAATTATCGCTCTTTTCAATCTTTCCTCCTTTCAGGTTTAACAACTTTTCCTACCACCCAGGACCTTTTTTTGGCCATGAAATAGAAAGTCATTTTTAGTATCCACGTCAAGTATTGAGGAAGTTGTTTTTTTTATTTTATCTTTTTCTTCTCAGAGTGAAAAAAATACAAAAATACAAGAAAATAATTTTCTTCACGTTTTTTAAAGTTTTTGCAAAATTCTTTTTTTTTCTTTTTTAACTTATTTTTTATTACAAAGAAAATTAATTTCTATTCAAATCATCTTTAGTATAAAGGAAAATAACTTTTATGCAAATAGTTTGGAGGTTCGGTTTACAATTTTAAGAATTTTTTTAAAATTACTACTATTATTGTATATTATTATATAATAGTGCAAAAAAATAATAATAGCAGTAAATAATAATTTGAAAAAAAATATTGTTTTACTTTTTATGCTGCTGATTTGAAAGAAAAAAGAATGATTGACTGATTTAAAGTCATAAAATTAAGAAACTAATTTACATTAATTGTCTAAAGAAGAAGATATAATCAAGAAAAGAAATAAAAATAGTTTTTTATTATTTTCTTTATGTTCAGCAATTTTTCTACTTGTGTTGAATAGAATTTTGTTGAAGAATACTTTTTGGAAACAATTTTGTTTTTAATAATTTTTAATTTATTAATCAAGGCAATAATAATTAAATTAGTAATTTAATACATTAATAATTTTACAAATTATACACAAGTTCGTGTAAATAATAATTATTTTGACCTGTTTTAGAGAAAATTATTTATTTTTGGAAGAAAAATAATTAATATAGTAAAGAATCAATAAAATATTAAAAACTAATAATAAATAAATATAATAATCGCTTCGATAACAATGAATTGTAAAATTCCGAAAATTGCCACATAAATTTCTATCAGTTTCTTGAAAAAAAAAGATATTAATCAATGATTTTTCTCTTTTGAAGTTTATGATTTTCCATTTAGGAAAATTACCGATACTCATCAAAATAACGATTATAGTTAATTGCCTTTTTTGAATTCTTCTAGAACTTTGTATACGTCATTAGTTTATCAAGAAAGTATAAATAAAAATGAATACCGAAAGCGAAAAGATTTCAGGGAAACCATTTAAAAAGAAAAATAAGTCATCACCTATGCAATTATTTTTGAATATTTTATTGCAATTTATTGAAAGAGTTCATTATGAATTATTTTTAGAAAAAATTATATTAGATTACTTGCATTTTTATTAGTTGAGAATATTTTGTGTCTTATTTTAAGGCGCAGGCAGGAAGGAAAATTAACAAACATACCATTCGAAGGCTTATAAAATTCTACGATAAATGATATATAACTGAAAATTTTAATAATTTACACAAAGGTTTCAGTAATCGACAAATTTGACAAAAACATTTTTAAAATAAAATTTTAAAGTCTCATCTTTAACTTAAGACCAAAAAAGTTAAAAAATCTTATTCGGTTCGACAGATATCATTATAAACGTCCGAGCATATTTTTAGAGAAATGCATTGAATTAGTCGATTTTGTACAGATTTTAACTGAAAATGCTAGGACGTTCATAATGATATCTTATAAACCGAATAAATTTTTTTAACTTTTTTGGTCTTAAATTAAAGATGAGACGTATACAAGTTTTAAATTTTTTCTGCAATTTTTAAAAAATATTCAAGAGTTTAAAAAATTGCCAAAAAAATTTACTTTTTAAATTGTACTTTTTAAAAAAAGAGGTTGTTACAGAAATATACCTAGTGAAGAGAGAGAGAGAGAGAAAGAGAGAATTAAAAAAAGGATTTCCAGGGAATATACAAAAAGAGGTAGGGCGCGAAAGACCAATGCTGACGATGGGTTGAAGCTTGATTGAGTCTTGAACGCCCAGCGTGGGTAACCCAGAGTTGAAGCAGTCTTTATATCATTGTCACTCAATATTGGTTCAGCATGGGACACCAATGTTCAACCCATGCTCGATTCAAGACTCGGTCAATCTTCGTGAGTGAAGCTTGAACATCCCATCTTTATTCAAGCTTGAATCAATCTTGATAGTTTATTTATTACCGTGTGCAGTTAACAATATTAGATATAAATATTTATAAATTATTTAATTTTAAAATATTTTTACATTCTCATCATATGAGAAAGTATTAGTTTTGGTCGAAAATTGACTTTTGCTAATTTCATGAAATCTTGACGTTTTGGGGTCCCCTGAACCCAAAAAACATGGTCCGGCGATGGTGTCTGTCTGTTCGTCTGTCTGTCTGTCTGTAGACCAAAAATTTTGTTCCCACGATAACTCTTGAAAAACTTATCCGATCGTTTTTAAATTTAACACACTGAAAGTTGGTGCAAAAATGAAGGCCAAGTTCGTTAACCAGCTATTTTCGTCAGAAACTACTTTTTTTTTTTTAAGTTTTTGGGTGTCAGCTTAGGGAGCGTTTAAAAATGATGTCACGTTTTTGGGGTCAGGGGAGGGGTCTCTTCTAAACGTGACACAATGTATTTTTGCAAGTGAAATTGCATGAAGTAGCGTGACAGTGTAGGGGGGGTCTAAAATCCCGAAAAATTGCGTGACATCATTTGTGAACGCTCCCTTAACTGTGTTAAAGAATTTGTTATTGATTTTGTAAAATGTTATAACTTTTATAAAAATTCGTTT